CACGGGTATTATGTAAAAAACCTATGAAACGTCAAAAAAACTATAAAATATCATCTTGCAGACTAGGTAGTTTCTAGGGTGCAAACAGTCATTCCACGTTTGCTCCCTAGGATCGTTGTGAGCGTCCATCTATGGAGGAATGAATCAACTGCACACACTGTTGGTTGCATATGTTTTGTGAAGCCGAGTAGTCTGTAATTTTCATCTCTGAAAAGATGTGAAACAAAGAAAGTTCAAATTAATACCGAATATGTTGCCAGTGAAGTATATCTATTGGCTGTATTCGATGGGTTATTTATATGTTGTCCTTTCTGAAGATATGTTATGTTCAGAGTCATAAATTACGATGTTTTCCGTTTTTTATGTTTTCAAACACTTTGAGGAGCACTACCAGAAATCGCCACCGCGTTGTGTGCAATTAAGCCACATCTCAGAAAAATTAGTACTGACGCATCACACATCATTTTCGCAAGGCCTCTTATCTAGGCGCTGATTTGTATTTTCTTTTAATATCGCAAAATAAATTTCTATAAAATTTAAATGACGAAGTAAAAAGTAATGTAATAACCTTTTCACTTTCATAAATATTCCTGTTTGTAGCATATTTTCACCTGTTCCTTCACCAGCCAGGGATTTTCTTTTCTTATATCTCTCATTTTTGAAATTCAGAAAATTTGCATATGTAATTTCCAGAACGAATAAGAAAAAGTGGATGCGCAACTAATTTCTAGCTTTGAATCGCCAATAAGTGTATCTGATACAAGAATCCAATGGAATTATCATCGAAACATATTATTAGAACACGAATCCTCACGATGCACCTATGCATTGCCGTTTCCTTCTAGCTATAGTGTTCAACTTAGGCCCGTATCGTCAGTCGTCCCTACAATTGTAGGGCGCCTTTATGGCCTCCTTGATTGTCATAGTTTTCTACTTCTCCGTGTCAGCGCTCTATTTTGAGGTTATGTCACAAACATCTATTTGCATCAAATTGTGCTTGCTTTTGAGTTATATCATGTTCTATCAGCCTGAGATTTCCTACAATTTAAAAAGAAAACATATCTTCACAATAGGAGAACGCTGACACTGACACGGGACAAGTGTAATCTCTTTGAAGGAGAGAAAGGAGTATGACAATCAAGGAGAGCATAAACGCGCCCTACAATTGTAGGGACGACTGACGATACGGGCCTAGCTTAGACCTCCAGTAATGCCATCTCTGAAGCAGATTTTACATCACATCAGAGTCCAACATTAATAACTAAAGCATCATGGCATTTAGGCAACACGTACAACGAGTTCACAACAAGTGCTCATCAGCTAGTGCTAAGGGAACATCTTGTATAAAAACCGACATAATGTAATAAACAACCAATACAATGTCAGAATAATCGACATTCGTCGACGTTCTCATGATACGTAATACCCGTGCCGACTGGACGAATGCATAAGGCAAAATGTAATCACGACAAATCATTTTATTGGGCGTTCCATGTTCTTTGTCACTGATTATATTTACATAAGGATATTCTTTCTTGAGTAATAATTCAAAACTTAGGCATGAATGGATATGTGACAAATTTAATTTTTGATGTCGTTTTAAGGTAAAAACGATGTAAGAAGTCTTTTAGTTTCAGTTTCAAAACAAAATTCATTCGTCCCATTTACAAAATGCCTTTGACAAAAATTATAAGCCTTTTACAAATTATTGTTATTATATAAAACCATCGATTGTCTCCACTGACCTATACCTCGCAACAAGTGATTTCGACCGAATCGATCCTATAAAATTGGTAGCATTCCACATCCATCTGTAAAAACCACAAATCTTGAGCTGACAACCACTGTCCCTGTGTTGCACAAAAACGAAGTTAGTGATGGTTTGTGTGCTTTGGATGCTTAAAAATAACTCTTTGCAAATTATTCTTGGTTTTTATCTGAATGCAATAACGCTAACACACCATATACAATCTCGCGAAATATTTCATTATTCGTGTTTCATTGCAAATTACAAGAGGTTAGCTACCAGCTAGTGGGTACCGTTTAATTTAAAATACGGTTTTGCTAGTGAAGAATTGGATATTATATTCATATGAATAGGCTGCTAAATTAAAATTTGCTCCTGGCCTACTTACTCCAAAACTAGTATTAGCAATTAAGAAGAACGACTCGTTGTTGTTACAAATATACAGGGTGCTAGGGAAATAATATTCGTAGCTTTAAGTGGTGATTCCTTGCATTATTCTAAGCAAAAAAAAGATCATTATAACCTATGTCCGAAAATCAACCGTTTTGGAGCAAAAAATGCTGAACTTATTTCTTTTTAGACATGAAATAAATTAATTTTGCACCTTAATAATTTAAATTCATATGCCTAAAAGCGTAAAATGTATCAATAAATCTATTTATTAATTAACTGTCTATAACAAAATAATTTTCTTGCTTATTACATATTACAATTTTCTAAAGAAAAACAAAATCCCTCACACAACTGGCAACGTCGTACTTTGCCTGCACTGCATGTATCATCGATGTTGTTGTGATTACTAATACATCTAACTGTAACTTTATGTGATTTACGGATGTTATTTTTTTTCGTGCATCGCATCGTTTCAAATAAGTGACTGATAATCGTGGGAATTGGTGGTGTATTTTGCCACGTACCGGTAAGTTCTGTCATTTTTTTGAAGTAAAAGTACTGAAAGCGTTATTAAATAAAAAATATTAGCCACAAAAAAATGCGCAAAAGTATTCAAAAACTCAAGGCATATTTTCAACAAAAATATAATACAAACGTAAACAATTCGTTGAATCAGTTGCGGTCGTCGTGCGCTCGTATCGCGGTTGCGTTGCAGCGTTGCCAAATGTTTGAAAAAAATTTAATTACTTACGACTCACTTTCCTCTCAAACGATTGGTTTTCGGACATAAGTTATAATGAACTTTTTTGCTTAGAATAATGCAAGGAATCACATCTAAAAGTTATGAATATTATTTCCCTAACACCCTGTATAAAATATAATTGAATCGGTCAGTGTGCATTTTTCAAGAAACAATAAAAACTGTATCACTGACAAATAAACCAGTTTAAAAGTACTTTTTTAGGCTTAGTGTAGTATTTGAGCTCTATAAGACTAAAATTTTGAATAAATTTCACTGTATAATAATAATGGAAGAAATGGAAATATTATTATGGACGTTGTTTTAGCAGTAAACAGAATTACGGGTATATAAATTAAACAAAATGATAATACATATTAGTTTATTCTTCAATTACTTATTATTGAAAATTGCTGTTAAATATTGACTTACTAATATGCCACATGTTTTAATTATGCATGTTTTAATTTTTTTGAGGTACTATACATAGGGGAAGCCCGAGCGAAGCGAAAACCTAGGAATGTCAAATTTCCCATTTTACATCTTAAAAAAAAATATTCATGCAACTGTCTTCAACAATAGGCAATTGGTTATAGAAGAATCCACGTGATTATTTAAATTACCAGGCATCCAAATGTATCTTTTTAACAAAAAAAAAATACATTGCAATATAGATAGTATTGTGCGTGTTATGCCATATTTATACTATCCATATGAGCAACCATTTGAAATATTTGGCGTATATTTAAATACCTTCTAAGTCATAAAAGGAGAAGGATTGAGACAATTATTTTGGTAGGAAACATGGAAATTCTTAATACAAGTGATTTTGGGCAAAGCGGATAAGGTCTGTAATCTTATTTTTGTAGTTTGTGAATTTAAAATTGATATTTTGGTGCATATAGCACATAAATAAGAGAATAAAATAATACAGACTTACAGGTACTTACAGAAATAGACAATTGGTTATAGAAGAATCCACGTGATTATTTAAATACCAGGTATCCAAATGTATCTTAACAAAAAATTTTTATTGCAATATAGATAGATATTGTGCGTGTTATGCCATATTTATACTATCCATACAAACAATTATTTCAAATATTTGGCTTATATTTAAATACCTTCTCAGTCATAAAAGGAGAAGGATTAAGACAATGGTAGGAAACAAGGAAATTCTTAAAACAAGTGATTTCGAGCAAAGCGGATAAAGTCTGTAATCTTATTTTTGTAGTTAGTGAATTTAAAATTGATATTTTGGGGCATATAGCATATAAATAAGAGGATAAAACAATACAGACTTACAGGTACTCCTTTTGAAATGACTCGTTCAAGTAGAGTAGTGCGCACAAAAACCAGGTAAGTCTCGGACTTACGAAAGAATATATTGGCTGACAAGGTGTATATCCACTATCTTTAATGAAGCGTTTTCAGTAAAAAAAAAGTATGTTTGCAAAAAATTGACTTGAGCGATTTAATTCTATTTGACTTACTTCAACCTTAGAATCATTTGGTGCAAACTTAACTGTAACTCTAAAAAAAGGGCAAAAATTGCTTTAATATTTGTTGGCTTGATCGTGAGGGAAATGGTATGCGCATACTAATGGAGAATATAGGTCTCAATTGTTAGACATGTCAGAACATTGTTGAACTTATTATCTAAAAAATAGCTTTCTGTAAATTATTAATTGACAGCTGTCCAGTTTTGAAATTACGCTATCCGAGTCGTCAAATTTAGGGCAAAATAGTTGTTCAAGCGATATCCGCAACAATATCAAGCTGTTACTGAGGACAACTTGGCGTATGACATGCAGAGTTTTTGCTCAATTTCTGTCACAACTTTGCATTTATAATTATCCGTGTCAGAAAATATAATGCATTTATATAGTACAAACTCTGCATATTTAACTGCTGATTTCATAATTCATTTCGACAACTTACCAAAACATTTACATAGAGCAATTAGCCCATATAAAACTGATCCAAGTTTAAAGACAATAGTAAAAAAATAACAACCATTTCACTCAATGAATTATAATTTGCAATGATTGTTGTAATTGACATAGTGCGTAAGTGACTGTGTTATGTTATACAGGGAAGTAATTTCCTTTAAGTAGGCGCAGCAATTTTGCGATGCAACCATATTATTGCAAGAATGTGCCATCAAAAACCGTGTGTACTTCAATTTCAGTATAAAATAGTCTTGTTATACAATATGATTTTAGTTAGTTGGCAATATTTGTTTGTGTCGATCAATGTGTGCATTACATTTTCAAGACCCATGGACTAAGTATGATATTCACACTGGTAAGTAAAATTTATGAGTCTGAATCAAATAGGTTAATTATAAAAATTTTAATTAATATTAATTTTTAATTATAAGATCCTATAAATAATTGCATGTAAAATCCTCCTATATTATTGACTCGCTTAAAATCGACCTCGCTTATGGCGGACTATTTTAATCCATTATATGCGAGCTATTTTGGTAGCTCCCCGAAGCAGATTTAGCTGATGCAATCGTTTACGGCGGTTTGACTTCGCAGTTTGCATTCGAACTTGGCCACCAGTGTTATACTGTATTTATTACGTGCAATCACTTTACACGAAAAGTTCACAATAATTAGTGAGCTAGGTTGATCTCAAGCAAATATATGTACTCGTATGGCTCTAAACGAATCCACTGTGTCAAATATTTGGAAAAACCGTGACAATATTTAAAATGACTAGAAATCAAATAGTCAAAAGAAAAAATGCGGCTATCGGTGCATCCCCAAGTCGATGATATGCTGTTTAAATGACTTCAACAAATAATTGCTAATAATTTTCCAATAAGTGGACTTACAAATAAAGGCTGAAGAATTTGAGAAATTGATTGGAGACTACTTTAAATGTAGTTCCAGCTGGCTAGAAAGGTTTAAGAAAAGACATACCTAACATTGTTTTTGGAAAAATGTGTGATAAGTCAGCTTCAGTTGACTGGATTTACAAGTTTGGCCCGTAATATCTAGTGATTATTCAGATGATAACATATTCAATGCAGATGAAACTGTGATATTTTATAGAATAGTACCAGATAAAACTCATAAATTAAAAGGTGAAACTTGCAATGGAGGGAAACTATCAAAAGAGCGAATAACTGTTATGATTTATGCTAATGCTTCTGGTACGGAAAAACGGAAACTGATGTTGATAATAGGTAACTGAATAAATAGAAATTCATGTTCTAATTTTTTTGATATTTAAAGGCAGTGCTGTAAAGAATTTATGACTTTTTTTCATTTCAGGGAAATTTAAGTATCCCAGGTGATTCAAAAATGTTAAAACAATTCCCATCGATTATGTTGGAAATAACAAAGCTTGGATGACTTCATCAATTTTTGAAGAATATTGAAAAAAGTGCAACGCTGAACTTGTTAAGAAAAATCGTAACATTTTGCTCTTGGTCGATAACTGCCCTGCTCATTCAAATATTTCACTTAATAACATCAACCTTCAATTTTTTCCACCCAATGTAACATCAATTCTGCAAGCAAAGGAGCAGGGTGTCATTTGGAGTCTTAAACAAATGTATCGGAAACATGGTGATGAAAATTATGGAGCTTCAAGAAGATGACATTACCAAAGCTGTTACCTTTTTAGATGCTATAAATTTGCTTACTATTGCATGGGAATTGGTTACTCCATAAACGATTCGTAATTGTTTTTGCCATGCTGGTTAAGTGAAAAACATAACTGAAATAGTCAACGATTTTGATCCAGAAGATGAAATTCCATTAAGTGATTTACTGAAAATTAATAGTTTACTGAATATAGACAAATTTAATGAGTATGTAAATGTTGGCAATAATTTAATAACAAGACAGGAATTGTCAAACCCCAATTTTGTAAATCGAGGATCCGTTGATAACAAACAGGAAGACGAACTAGAAAACAAAGATGAAGAAGAGCTTTCAGTGACAACTAAGGAGGCATTAGATTGCGTCAAAAAGTTACAACGTTATTTTCAGCAAGAAGAAGACAGTACAGCCACACTTACCAAATTAAATAAAATTCAACTTTCTGTTCTAAATAATTATACAAAAAAACAACCTGTTCAAGTGAGAATTATTAGTTTTTTTACCAAATAATTTACGGTTTTTACACATACCTACACAGTACGTATGCCTGTAATATGCGTATCAGATTCTGAAAGAATGCAAATTTCAAAATTACGTATAACATTTTTGTATGTATCTTTATTTATGTAATACATGTCAAACAAACACATTTTAAGCTTTGTTATATATGTTATTTCTGCTTCTTTTTTTCGTACAAAAAAAGTGTTTCTTTTAAGATGGTCATTCGCCTATAATAGACTATTTGTCACAGTCCTGCCGAGTTAGCGGGTTGCACTGTATTTTTAAGCTTAAGTCACCTGAATCAATAGAAGGTTTGGGAAAATACGTATATTCCATGAAACTACGAGTAAATCTATGGAAGATCTGTTTTTCATTATAGTTGACCAGTTATCGCAACCACAATTAAATCAATCCGAAATTTAAGCGAAAATTGCTCATCACAAATACCGCGTATGTAATCATTAATAGCCGTCTTCTTTTGGACCGATCAATGTGATAGAAATAATCCATAATACAAAGGGTTGCAACCTGTGAATCCGATTCTTCCTAGTTCAATCGAAGGAAGGTCATTTTAAGCTGGACTACCAAATCAAGGAAGGTTTGATGGTTGGTCACGGGTAGTCACGTACTTTTGACACAATTTTCCTTGATAGGTTAATCCAGCTTAAAATGACAGACTCTCATGCGAAATCGGTAACTTACAGAATATGATTCTCTCAGCGCTGGCATCAGTTCGTCGTCAGTCTTTTTTAGTAGTAGTAGTAGTAGTTCAATCAGTTGAGCAGTTCCAAAGAATGCAGCTATTCCTGGTGTCTAATACCATAACAAGCAACGATGAGGGTTGTAAAAGTGAAAGTGATAAATTGTTAATGGTAGCCTTAGACGGCTGAAGCTTTTGACAGTGTATTGACATATTTACATCGAAACATCAATCATATCAGATTCTGGCGTTTCCTGTGTTCTTCAAATTGAAACAAACAAATGGGTGCAGCCATTCAAACTTGACAGCTCGAGACATGCATGTGCAAGCACCATACTTCACCTTTAATGGCGGAAACAACAAAAATCATAAAGTAGTTGGACTGAATTTGACGTGGTTCACTTGTAAAGGGAAATAGGAGTATCGTCTAACGCCTGTAGTGTCAAAATATTATCAGCCATTTATTGCGCTTTCTTGGTGATAGGCGCAAGCAATCTTAATCTTATTTGTCAGTTAAGTCAGTGATTTATGTCTGAAACATTGCAATTATGATTTTTAATGCTGCGATACATAGGCGGTATTTTTGATTCCCAAAACTTTCTGATGACAAATAAGCCGCCAGTCATATTCACAAACGAAAAAAGAAAAATCATGATTACGGATTTGTTAAGAATAAAATATAAACGGTTGAATATTCCGATGTCAACATTCTTAGACGCATTGTTGGTAAGAAATCTGATAAATAATGCTTCACCAAAGTAATCGAAATGAACATCTTAACCCAATTATATTTTGTTTCAGATTTTGGGTCTCCTGCTGTGTTCAGAACCTTCAGAAGCTACCATCAGAAAAATAAAGAAAGTGTACTTCGGTTTCCCGTTGCTACATCTTTTCCTCGGACACCTAGGGCCTTTTGGCCCATATGGAGGCCCCTTCGGGGGCCCATTTGGACCATTGATCCGTCCACCTCCACCGGTTCCACCTCCACCTCCACCGGTTCCACCTCCACCACCACCCATTCCCCCACCCATACCAGTACATCACAAGACCATCGTTCATAACAAAGAAGTCATTAAGGAGGGTCCTATAGGACACCATATAGGCCATGAATTTGGACCGCACTTTAGCCATGGGTTTGAACATGAGACCTTCCATCACCATGAATATACGGGATTTCCTCATGAATTTCACCACGATGGAGTTGGTTTAGAACATGGTCATTTTCATCATCCATGATATCGTTGCTTTAAATAATGACTATCACATTCTATTTCTGCAAATATGTATATTATAATCGTCCCTATTGATGTTACATAATATATCTTAAATAAAATAATTTTATCTCTAACGCTTCATTGGGTAAAGTAACTCTGATTCACGTCTTATACTCTATACAGGGTGTCCCGAAAAAAGTGTGCAATATTCTACCAGCGGTTTCTAGAGCTTAAAATAGGAAGAAAGGTTTATATAAACATAGGTCGACAAACGTCCCCTAAGGGCGCTAACGGTCTTTTGAAGGGGCTCCCCTGAAGATGGTTTTTCCTTAATATTTCCGAAACGTGTTGGTATAAAGACATAAAATTTGGTATTCTAGCCTAGTTTTTTATGCTATATTCAAAAATATTAACAATTTTAGACAGTTTTGTTTGGAAGCGTGTGTAACAGGGACGGACTCAGGTTATTTTAGCCCCAACATTTTTGTGAGATTCTATTTTTGAAATTCAATTTTCGAATTTGAAAATATAGGGTTTTCTACATAAAAATGTACTCTTATTGAATATCGATAAATTGTGCCATTTTTGAATAAAATCAAACTAGAAAATGTGTCACATCATAGGAAATGTACTGCGAATTTAAATGAATTGTTGATTATACATAGTTAGCCATGCCTGCAAACAAAAGTTGTTTTGATTTGTTATGACTTATTTTTAAGTTAAGCTGACATTGTTAGCAGTGTGAAATTACTAGATTAAAATCAAAATTTTTATTAAATCGATTTGAAATGCCAAGATTTACAGACAAAGAACTGACTGACATTTTGTGTACGGGTTTTGCAATAGCAGTTCATTGGCAGCCGTAAGAGAATATCAAAGAAGATTTCCCAATCGCATAGTACCTGGACATCGAATTTTTACTGATATTCACCGGAATTTGTTAAACCATGGAAGTTTTTAGCGCATCCAGGGCTCAGGAAGGCCACTGGGAAATCATCGTATGGATATTGCTTTAAATATGTTTGAAAATAATCCGCAAATAAGCATACGAAATGTTTCAGAAATTATGGATATACCTCGATCAATAGTAAGAAAAATTTATGAATACCTATTTGATAGTTATCCTAAAAATAATAATTTTAGATAGGAAGAATGGCAAGAATGCAAGGATTACATCCTTATCATTTTAAACGGGTGCAGCATGTAACGGAGGAAGATTTTTTACCACGAATCGAGTTTTGCCAGTGGATATTAGCAAATGAAAACACTAGTCCTAGAATATTATGGTCGGATGAGTTAATATTTATTAGGAATGGTGCTTTTAATTTTCATAACCTGCATCACTGGTCAGATGAAAATCCAAAAGTTGTTCGCCATACAAATTTACAACATAGATTTTCATGGAACTTATGGGCAGGAGTAATTGGGGATCAAGTAATTGGGCCTATTGTACTTCCCAATCGTCTTAATTCAGAGGTGTATCTGAACTTTCTTCAGAATGAGTTCATGGATATAATACCATTGGATGTGCACCAGCAGTTTCAAGAAAATATGTTTTTTCAACATGATGGCGCCCCTGCACATTTTGGACGCAATGTTCGAAATTGGATGAATGTCAATTTTCCAGACAGGTGATTAGGCCGAGGAGGTCCTATAGCGTGGCCATCACCTTCACCTGACCTAAATCCATTGGCTTTCTATTTTTGGGAGTCATTAAAAGACCTAGTTTACTCGACTGAAGTAAATACTCAAGAAGATTTACTTCAAAGAATCCATCAGGCTGCAAATGAAATAAGAAGAAAAAGGTTTTCCACTTTTCGGGCTACGCAATCATTAGTTCGTCGAGCGAGACTCTGTATCCAACAAAATGGGAATTTGAACACTTATTGTAAAGCTAGTTTTAAGTATATCCAACTGAGGGGTTTCCGGGAAAAACAACATTAGTCACTTTTTGTTGAAATTGAGTTGGCAACGCTGTTGTGTTCTACATGTTTCAATGCTGCTTTCTGATGTTTAAGTTTTCCGTCAAAAGCACTTATCTCCGTCTGAAATGCGTTTAAAGAATCGTCGGTTCCATAAGAACGACATTAGTCAACATAGGTTTATCAAAGTATATTAAAAGCCTGAACATACAATGTTTTATAAAAGATTATTAAATACTCATAAACAAGATACTGAAGGCAATAATGCAGAAATAGACAATGACGACAGCAGTAGTGGAAATAGTCTCATAGAATAGAAATATTGTTATACAGTTAGAATACTTTTGAAGAATATGTTTTTTTCCTGAAATGCTTTTAGAATATGTTGTTTTTTTCTGAAATGCTTAAGTTTCGTTTCAATAAATATATATAAAAAATATTCTTGGTTAACAAGCCTCATTCTAAAAAATTCCTAAAAAACAACATTTGTCACCACGTTTTTGTATTTTTTTTTTATTCACAAATCCGTTTTTTTTTTTCTTGAAATACACCTTAAAATATATAAGATGCCTTCTTACACGGCCTTAACACTAAAAAAATGCGTTTCACAGCAGTATAAGCAACATTTTCTGACAAATGTTGTTTTTCCCAGAAACCCCTCAACTGTATGTCTTCTTTTTTAAACAAATTTCAATTTCGTTCGTAGAAAAAATGTATTTCTTTTGTTTTTGCCTAAATGTTAGCTATGTTGCAATAGAAATATGTATTTATGTAATATTTACCAATTAAATTAGTTTTTTCGTTGCCATGGCTAATTATTCAACAATTCATTTAAATTCGCAGTACATTTCCTATCATGTGACAAATTTTTTGGTTTGATTTTATTCAAAAATGGCACAATTTATCGATATTTAATAAGAGTACCTTTTTCAAATTCAAATTGAATTTGAAAAATAGAATCACAAAAAAATTTTGGGGCTAAAATAACCTGAGTCCGTCCCTGTTACATACACTTCCAAACAAAACTGTATGAAATTGTTAATATTTTTAAATCCAGCATAAAAAACTAGGCTAGAATACCAAATTTTATGTCTTTATCTCAACAGGTTTCGAAAATAGTAAGGAAAAAACATCTTCAGGGGAGCCACTTTAAAAGACCGTAGCGCCCTTAGGGGACGTTTGTAGACCTATGTTTATATGACCTTTTCTTCCTATTTTAAGCTCTAGAAACCGCTGGTAGAATATTGCACACATTTTTCGGGAAACCCTGTATACCACGACCAATTTATAATTTTTTCATGATACTGTATTGAATAGCTGTCACATCAACCCAAAAGGTTGTTAAATTCCATCTTTCATGAAACACTAATCTAAATTATTGATTAGGATATAAGCTCAATGGAACGAAAAATATCAAAAACATTGCTTACAATAATTATTATGGAATGTAAATTATCTTTAATATTAAATGTGAGATGAAAAACTGGCTCCAAGTAGGTTGACACCGCACTTCCTACTTAACGCCGTCATCAATTCCTAAAAGGAATTCAGCACAAGTTAAACCCTCTAAGAAAAAACAATGTTACGAACATTTACAATAGAAAAAAAATCAATTCAGTCAAACAGGCGTATACAATTGCCCTGCCGGTAGTTGACGTCCATTTGGCAACGTGGCCCCTTCCCATAATCGTCAGACGCGACAGCGCCAAACGAAGCAACGCCGCAGTACGAGGAGAACAATCAAGCAAATCGTTACGCCAGGCGCTAAGCCATCAGGCTAGCAGAGAGAGACACGCATCGAAAATATTTCTCTATCATTCAGTTAAACGACACATGTGTTTCGGGACTAGGACAGTATAAATATACTAATATAAAAATGAGGTATATCCTCCCTCACCAATCCCTAACTTTTCACCACTAAAATTTTTTTCAAAAATTCAGGATCCTCTGAAACGTCAAAAAATGATGTCTGAGCGAATTTTTTTTTCGTTTTTGGCCTTTCTCCGGCGAAACTTGTGCAATAATTCCATCCAAATTCTAGCAGTACTTTCTCAGTCATAGACGGGCAAAGGATTGTCGGACAGACGGACCGAGCGACAGACAGACAGACCGACACGCTGACGGAAATGAGCCACATGGTTTTTCGTGATGTACATGTCACATACCATCCAAAAAACATAATATCACATTTTCGAATTTTTTTTCGGAATTACAATACTTGCTCGCACAATGGCGTAGGAGATAACAACGGAATCCGATAGACAGATTTGGTACTTTCCACGCAATAATGCAAAATTTATTTAAAATTTAGGCGGATACTGAAAAACAAGGAATGTCTTAGTACCACCAAAAAATTGTACTTGAATGATCAAAAAGTTGACAAACGAAAGCCTGTAGTTATTTTTTACCTCTCCAATATATTTTTTACTTCCAAAAAAGTAATCAGAGACTGGAAAACAATAGCGAATTTCCCATTTATCTCTCATATCTCTGCTGCCACTGATTTTTGTTGCCCTTGTATGAAATTTCATCAAAATCCGAGCAATACTTTGAGACTTAGCTAGAGGTACCAAGGACTACCGGAAAAGCAGGCCGATGAAAATGAGAGATGGTTTTTCGTGATGTTCGTAATATCGATTTCGACATTCTTTAAGATTACAATATTTCCGTGCCAGTTAGCGTGGGAAGGATAAATAATTCTGGATATTAATACTACCCAAAATAAATAAAAGATAGGTGGTATGAAATAACGTAGTTGAGTGTGTACAGTATAACCGTAAATATCGTACAAAAATAAATGTTGAGCATGCTGCATCGGATAAAACATATATGCTTCTTGAGAACCATGTTCTCAGTATTAAAGCTAGAATAGATTATGGATAAGTTAGGATCAATGAAGCTTGATCATCTGAACGTGCGATCTCTCATGTCCGACTTTGCTGCAATTATTGACCTGATTCAGACTGAGCGGTTCGGTATTTTCGCTGTAAGTGAAACATGCTTGAGCCAAGACATTACCAATGATGCGGTGAGTATCAATAATTACAATCTGTTCCGTAGTGAGAGGGGATCCCGCGGTGGTGGAGTATGAATCTACATATCCACTGACCTTCAGGTCGAAATTATTAACTTTGACAACAGCTTTGGAAATTGCTTGGAACAACT